AAAAATATTTTGAAGCTTTTCTGGTCGCTTCGCCCTCCCTCCCTCCCTCCCTCTCCCTCTCCGTACTTGCCGGTGGCGTGTGTGCCCCTGCAGCCATCATCATCATCATCATCATCGTCAAGAGTGGACGTGCGTGCGGTTTTCCCTTTTTCCCAGAACAAGGACATCTTGATTACCCTCTCTCAGGTGCGTACGTGTGAGCAGCTGCACCGCCGCTCTGCCCCGCGTTGTTATGCCCCGCGTTGTTATGCCCTGTCCTTGTCGTGTGCTGTCTTCCGACCCTTTAAATGCATCAATCAACAACGCAATGGGGTTCTTGCTCAGCATGTTGCTTGCCCGGTACTCCTCTCATCTCCAGGGGCAGCGACATTGCGCGCGCGCGCGCACACGCACGCACCGCCCGGTGTGACATGTTGAGCTCGGGGTTACTCGCTTGAGAATACATCATGCCAGTCGCGTCACGACACCACATCAGCTAATCTCCTTGACCGAATAGCTCTGTCGAGTACTCGGCAGCAGCTGGCCAACCCGCCACCGGCTCGGCAATGCGGCTCGGAACATCTGATCGCCTCATCGCCAGCAGCATGACTGGTCCACCGTTAGCCTTGAGGTTGCGGTTATTTCAACTCTGTACCCTTGTTGTTTGGATGGGTTTCATGGCACATGCAGAGGAGGTCGCCGTGGTCAAATTTTTCAACGCCCCCTTCTCGCTCTTGGACCTCAATCGAACCCTGACCCAGCGTGGTGTGTTTGAGACATGGACCGACGCTTGCGGCTACCACCCTCTCGTCCTGCGCGACGGCAGCACCAATGATGATGACAACGATGACGACACGTCCACCGCAAGCCCAGTGCCCGTAACCGTTACCTTCACCCCGTCACCTGCGCCCACCGCCACGACAGATGACCTCATCGCCGCCCGCTTGTTTCATTTCAAGTTTATCGACTCGAGTGGTCACGTTGATGCTACCGTTGAAGCCCCAGATCGAACACTACTCTTTCCTCCCAGCTCGGGCTACATACACGGTGCCACTGACCCGTGTGCAAGTATGTTGCACCGTGCCCCCGTCTCGTTCAATCTGCTTCTTTGTTTACAGCCAGGCCACGTTACCTAGCCCTGTGCTCGCCATGATTGAGTTGTCTTTTTCTCCCCCTCTTCCCCTTTTTTTTCCGAGAGAGACACACCGTGACAACGCGTTTTCAAAAGTCCTATTCACCATCTCGGCTGTCACCCTGCCCTCACCCTCGTTTCCTTTTCATGGTTGTTCTACTCCCTTGTAGAAAGCAACGCCTCGCATGTTTGCCTGCCCAGTGATGTCAACTTGACTCGCCATGCCAACTTGCTCATGCGCCTGGTCAATGCTATGGGATGGCACCACGTCGTTGCACTCAACGACAATTCCTGCACCATCTTCACCCTCCCGGTCCCCCTCCGCAACGCCATTCTTGAAGCTGCCGATGCATACGTACGTCTGCAAGCATAAGCTCTCACGCAGCTCTTGCCGACAGACACACTGACCTGCAGCGCAGCACAGACGTTGCCGTGCTCGTTGGCTCATCTCATTCTCAAACCGTGGGTCGCCATCGCTCTCTTGCAGAATGTTTCACTCATTGCACACGAGACAGCCTATGAGGCCTCCTGTAGTGTCTTGCCCGTCGACCAGCACCCAATTCGCCTCGTCTTTGCCGATGATGTCTACAGCATGGCCCTTGCCATGGTCCGCTCCATCACCTTTCATGCCGATAACCAACGGTACGTTCCGCGCCCACACACTACCATCATATCCGACAGCTTTGCTTCTTGCACGTCGGACTGCAATTGCTCACTCTAATTACGGGCTGTTGCCTCCTGCGTTGCATCCAGGCTTGTGTATCTCTACCCTGAGGACATCAACGCGGTGTCCTTTGAAACGTTAATTGCCGCCATGAATCCTTGGGACACGACGGGCGAAATCCGCGCCATTGCACGCGCACGCACCATTATCATCTCTAGCAAGCTACCAGGTGACCGCCTGCTGAGTGCCCTTCTGTGTGCCCGCCAGCTGCCATTGGCATTCCTGGCTCAGCTCACACCGAAGCACCTGTACCGAACATGATGATTCTTAGATTTGCTGACGGATCTTCCCGTTATTACGGCAGCCAATGCCTTTTTGAGCTACTTTGGCACTCGATGCACAGCTCTTCAGGATCTAGTCGTTGACTATCAGCTCAAGGATGCCAAGAATGATTTCATGGTGGCAATGCAAGCCCCCACGGACAAGAACCCAGAGCGCGACGTCCTCGCCTATCGGCTGCGGGCCCTCACTTCGGTACGCCTGGTGGGCCCAGACCGCCAAACCTTTTACACCTTGCACTGGCGCGTCGATTGTTGCTCAGCTGACAACCGCAACTTGATTTTTGGCCTGCAGGACCAAGGCAATGTCGTGTTTTACTCTCTGTTGGGTGCAGAAATTGACCAACCCATCCTCTTTCCGACCTATCCAGAGCTTCTCCCAGCTTCTGAGTATCCTCTGGAAATCCGCATTCTTCTTGTATTCCAGAGGTGAGCCCAGTTCATGGTTACTCTCGTTCATCAGCTGTCTACACCCTCACCCAATCCATCCTCAATCCTTGTTTGACCACTCTAGGCTCAGTCCCACCCTTCAAGGAGGCTCGGCAGGTGCTGATGCTATGGCTCTTGCCGCAGCAGGTCGGTCCATTCCGCCTGTCTTTTTTCACAGTTTAAATGTTTTTGCCGTGGTCTTTTTGAAGCGGCTTGCTTGGCTGCCAACCTTGTTAGCCTCATGATTTGTCCTGTATGGTGCAGAATACCTGGCCGAAGTGTATCCAGACATTCGTGTTCAACTCTTGCGAGCCGATGTGACTGGGCAGGACTGTTCTGTAATCCCCAGCCTGGCAGAGACACATGCCGTGCATTTGATTGCAGGGCCTGTGGTGTCTGATTGCGCCATCAAGGCAATGAATGTTGCCCGCCTCAACCCGGATCTGCAGCTCATCAGTCCCATCGGTTCTAGCGCTGTGCTCGTGAACAGCTCCGTCTATCCCAATTATCTCAGTCTATCGGCATCCACACTCAAGCTGGGTGCCAACTTGGTAAATTTGGTCTCAGCACTTGGCCAGTTTGACTGCATCACGCTCATCCACGACGTTTCGATCACTCCTAACGTGGAGACAACTGAGCGATTTCGTTCGCTGGCCACGGCCGCAGGCCACTCGGTGGCTTTGGAGCTTGTTTTTCCAGCCAGCGAGGACGAAATTCTCGTCGATCAACTCCTTCAGGCTCTTTGGGCCAATGGCACGGGCCTTGTCGTCGTTAGCCTGTAAGTTTAATAATCCCACTCGTCCACCACGCACTCCCTATCTTCGCATTTCTCCTGCCTCCCGCCTCTTCGCCTCACTGCATGGCCCTGCTGCTGCTTCTTCTTTCTTTTTTTTTTTCTTTCTTTTTTTTTTTTTTTTATTATTATTATTATTATTTTTTCATTCCGGCCTCAGGTACCCCATCCAATCACGGGTACTATTTGAGCGTGCTTACGCTCTTGGTTTGTTGGACACCAATGTGTTCTGGGTTGCGTCTCGGTTTGCGCTGCCAAAGTCCGACTGGAACCTCGACGTGCGCCTTGCAATGACGGGGCGCCTCATATCCATGAATCTCAACACGCCGACAGGCACCTCGCCATACGCCGCTCCCTTTGCGGCCTTTGATTCCAGCACAGATCACAGCGTTTTCTTCCCGCAAATCCTCGACCGTGCTTGGGTCATCAACGTGGCCGAGATTGTCATGATTGCCGCCACGGCAGCAGAAAAAATGAAGTACACCAACCGCTTTGGTCGCAATCTCAATGTGACCCGGCGACTGTTGCGTGAAGCCGTCGCATCCATCCTCGTCAACAACTCGATCGAGGGCCTTTACTATGACCATCTCAGCATTGATGCAGAGGGCGAACTTGGGGCCACAGAAACCGTGGCCTTTGTCAACGGCGATGCAGTTACCATTGGCAACCCAGAGGGTTCGGTCTTGGGGTCGTGGCAGCCTCGGGCGTTGTCGTGTGCCCCAGCTCCTTTGCCCACTCGACCTCCAACCGCGGCTTTGAATACATCGGTTCCAGCAGCCGATACGGACGACGAACAAACGTTGATTCTTGCCATCGCTTTACCCTTGGTTGTGCTGGGTTTGATTGTACTTTGTCTCATCCTTCATCTACAACGCCAGCGCCGCCACCGTGTCGATGTGCATGCTGCCGTTGATTACTGGCAGGCCAAGTGCCCCGAACCCTTGGTGGCCCCGCCCACACTTGGACGCAACGACATTGCTCTAGGCCCTCTTCTGGGCGGTGGGCAATATGGACAGGTCTTTCTGGGCACATTGCGCCGTGGGCGTCGCATGGGCTGGTCCAAACAAGCAGACCAACAAGTGGTTTGTAAGCAAGCCAAATCAGGAGACTCGACTGCCACGTCAGAAGCGCGCCTCTTGACCGAGGCCATCTTGCTGAATCAACTGCACGATAACAACTACGTGGTCAAGTTAATTGGCATTGCCGTGGCCCAACCATCACTCATTCTCGTTTTGGAGTACTGCTCCCAAGGTGACCTTGCCCACATGCTGCGCACCACTGTCGAGGACAACCGGCAGATTGCAGTTGCAGAAAAAATGCGCATGGCGCAAGACATTGCCCGCGGCATGGCCAGCCTGGCGCGCTATTCGATTGTTCATAGCGATTTAAGTGCGCGAAATATTTTGGTTGATGAGAATCATCGCTGCAAGGTCTCCGACCTTGGATTGGCTTATGTGGGCGCTGATTTGCAGGACGTGGGTGCTGTAACCGCCGTTCGGTAAGTTTGCATGGCCTGACCGTCGCCTTGCTAAAAATGAGAAGAGAGAAAGAAGGGGTTTATAGATAGGGCAGGCAACACAAGAGTCAGTCTGGGAGTGATGGGCCAAAGCCAGGATTCGTTGTACCCCAGACCATCTATGGCTAATGGCTGTGCTCGCAAAAGCATGTGAAAATGATGCGACGACTTTCTGGCCTGCCTTTTCACTCTATGCATGGGCATTGGCTTTTGCAGATGGGCGGCGCCGGAAGTGCTTGACGGACGTATCGGCCCACAGAGTGACGTTTGGTCATTTGGAATCGTTTTGTAAGTCTTTGATTGATATGGCAAACTCATCATGGCAAGGCCAACCTTTTTCCTCTTGTGCGCGCCTTGCCTGCATTTTTTGGGGGGTGGTCGCTTTCGTTCGCTGCATGCCAATTTATCGCTGGGCGAAGCAAACTGTTTTTTGTTGTTGCCTTCTCGTTTTCTTCTGCTTGCTCTTTGTCGCTGCTCAGTGAAAGACTCACACTGGCACTCCACGATAGGTATGAGATTACGACCGACGCCGCCGCTCTTCCGTACGGTAGCCTCTCCAGCTCGGCCGTCGTGGTCGCCGTCAAGGCCGGGTATCGCATGCCTCGTCCCGTGAGCTGCCCCGAGCCCGTCTACGATATTATGCAACAGTGCTGGTGCGAATATCGAGCGCGACCGAGCTTCTTACATCTGGCAGCACAACTTTCGAGTTTGAACACCCAAAAGCTAAACAACAAGACCATTCCGGGCCTGCCGATTCCGGAAACGTCGGATGATGAGCGAGTATCACCCGTCATTCCCAGCCATTACAGTCGTTTAGAGCACCGAAAGGAGAGCGCCGACAATCAGCGAGGAAATAAGCATGGGTTGAACCTCAAGGGAGCGCCAAAGCGTCGCAATCTTGATGAAGCCCTGCCCACCTATCTCACCCTGCTATAGGCTTGACTCTGTCGGTGCTTGTGCACTTAACTTGTGGCGCCATGCGCCTGGCTCATTGTCCCTGAGGACCATGCCCCTTCTCTTTGACTCGCTTTGTTGAACTGTGTGTATCGGTCTCGCTGGCCGCCTGTATTTTTACGAAGTTCACGAGTGAATGCGCGACTTCCGCGTGTCCAAAGCTTCCTCGTTCTTGTTTTTAGGACTGTAACTGTGTTTTTTCAAGAAAAAGAGGTTGGTTTTGTTTTTTGTTTTTTGATTTCAAGTTTTGAAATTGCATAATATAATAATATACACATGAGACAAAGATGGGCTATTGCCTCGTTGGCTGGTCCCACAGGGACAGATTGGCGTAACCGATGCGTGTCGGCAGAAATCTAGCTAGGGTTTTTTGAAGCAAATGTCGCTGCGGTGTGGAGAGACTGGAATTGTCTAGTTGACCATGAGGATTAAGCCCGATGTCTTGAGAGCATGGCCGTCGGTATCGAGGAAATCGACCACAGAGGTGGGATGTGGACAGGCAGTCTGGAGAGCTTCACAAACTAGCTTGAGGCAGCGGCGACTGTGGTCCATCACGTCCACAAAGACGAGCATGTTGCCGGGCTGCAAGGTGGCGGCCAGGTCGGTGTAAAAGGCGTGCTGGGCCGCCTGAGCGGCGGCCGAGGTTTCGTGGCAAACGTATGAGAAGATGTAGAGGTCGGTGTCGGCCAAGACAACGCGTGTATCGTGGTTGATGTCCTCGGCCATGGACTGGGTCACATCGCAGCGGTGGAACGCGACGGTGCACTCGGGCGCCAAAAGGTCTTGCAACCGAGACAGGTGTCGTTTCCAGCTACCCTCGTAATCCAGCAAACGCAATTCAACGGGTGTGGTCAGGCCAGCCGGGCTAAAGTAAAGGCTATGGAGCCATTTGAATGCAGCAGCATCTGTGCCTGGCCCGCCGCCAATGGAGGCGACACGAAGCGGAGTGGGCTGAGTGCAGAAGAGCTGCAGACGCCGGCCTGCATCGGCAAGGCTGGCTTGGCTATGGGTAGCAGGGGTGGTAAGGGTGGCCGTGGAAGTGGTCGTGGTGGTCGGGGGCATGGCGATGGTGCCGGAAGCGGAGGTCAAGGCCGTAGTAGCGGTCAGGGTTGTGCCGGAACTCAAGGTGGCCAAGTGCGTCTTTCCTTTGTTAGAAGTGGATGGGCTTGCACGCCAGCAGGCAGCGAGGAGCTGAAAGAGAAGGCAGCCTCGGCGGTCGAACTTGGTGGCAAAATAAACTTGATGGAGGGCAGCGCCGGTGAAGCGAATGCCAACGGTGTCGCTGGAAGTGGAAAGGTCTTTGATTTTCTGCTTGGCTTGAGCGGCCTTTTCCGGGGTGACAGCGCCACAGCCCTGGACCAGCGTGTGTTTGGCCGATTGAAACCATTCTGCTCGCAGTCGCCAGGCAAGCAGGCAGGCAGGCAGGTGGGTCCAAGTTCAAGTGAGTTTTAAGGGGCGGGTCGAGAGGCTTGCTTGTCTATCCATTTGCTCATCTGCAGACGACATGTCGTGCGGCACACGCGTCGTACCTTCAATGTTTTTGGGGATGGGCGCCGCTGTTAAAACTTGGGCAGATTTTTTGGTGGACGAGGCGGTATGGGGACCATTCTTGTCGCTTGAGGCGGGTAGACGAGCCAAGATGGCAGCCAGAGCCGCTGAATTTTGGCTGCGACCAGAAGTCGGGCGGTTGGCAGCGGCTGCGGACCCCGAGGTGCGGCGGTTATGTGACTTGCGCGGCATGACGCGGGTGCGAAACCTGGACGCCCTCCGAAAGAAGACCAAGGCAATGCGACGGGCGAGGGGGTGCGCGGCAGGCGGAAGGCAATGGAGGCCTAGAAAAATGACAGAAGCGCGAGCGCTCAGCCGCAGAGGGGCGGAATAGGGGGCTGTCGCACAAGCACAATCGTTCCTGTGTCGTCTCGCCCCGTGCTTCGTAGGGGGCTGCTGCACCTCCCTTCACCCGTCAGTCAACTGCTGCCTCTCGCCCCCTCTCACACACACACGCACACACACACACACACGTTGTGCAGCTTACACACCTCAACAGACCCCCCATCAGACGGCATCACACGTGTGCAACATTGCCGCTTGCTGCTCTTTCAAGTTTCTCTTCTCTCTCTCTCTCTCTCTCTCTCTCTCTCTCTCTCTCTCTCTCTCTCTCTCTCTCTCTCTCTCTCATCTCTGGAAGAGAGAGAGATTGCAAGGAAACGGGCGTGACCTTGTCAAATTTCAGCAAGAATAGCAGAATTTTGTCAGCATTTTGGGGTGGAGTGGGCGGACGCGTGCTGACAAAAAAAGAGCGCTGAAACGCTTGCACAATGTTGTGTATGTCAGATAAAATGATGGCACATTGTGTCGGCAGGGCAGGAAGGAAGGAGCTGTGACCGGGGGAACGTTGGTACCACCAACTGGAAGCCCCGAGAAACAAATGAGATTCACGTTGTGGCATCTATTGGTCAGTTCAAAAAGGACACAAACAAAAACACAATAAAAACCCAAAAAAGCTGTTTGGCAAACACAACGACGACTTCTACGTTCATGGTTTCTGCTGGAAAGAATGCCAAACCAGTCTCCCCGCACACACGGACACGCACACATACACACACATTTCCAGCGTGCTGCTCTGGCACAAGCCACTGCTCCCCAAAGCCACACCGCCATCATAATAATGCAACAGAATCACAATCAAGCTCGCTCGTACACTCAATCCTAAGCGGGCGTGGGTGTGCACACCACTGGCTTAGCCAGTCAGCCGTTGAACGGTTGAGCAGACGACTCCATGCAAACAGTCACCCAAAAAAAACGAATAACATCAAAAAGAAAAAAGAAGAAAGAAACATGCACCTCCCATCTTTTAAAAAAAACTGGCCTATCCAATTCTGGACTGCCCGGTTTTTGGCCAACGCTCAACCACCCACCGCCTCGGCTCAGCCTGCTGCAGTGCCGCCTCGGGTCTTTACAACCAGGGTTGCCAGGTGCCAGGCATGGTACAAAGGTGGTTGGATGCAGTCGCATACTTGATCAGCTGGTCGATGGGGGTGTGCATATGCTCACCCTCGTAGCGCGCCAGCGGTGCCAGCCGCGCCGCCATCACCTGCCGGCGGTTTTCCTCAACCTTGCTCACCAGCTTTCCGTTGTCAACCACGCCCTTATCATACGGCTTTTCCATGACCGAATAATACGCAATCAGCTCGTCCCTCATGATTGCCTCAAACAGCTGGGCAAACATGTGATCGGGATTGTTCAACGCTTGCGCTGTGGCCACCATGCTCCCAGAAAATATGCCCGTAATCCCGGCCGGAGTCACAAAGTTGACCAAGTTTGGCGTCAGGCGGAATGGTACCGGATCAAGCGACACCACCTGCGCCGTCTTGTCCAGGCTCGGAGCTAGCTCCCAAACCACAATGTTGCCAGTTTGCAAGGAAAAGCGGAACGTGTACGGCTGCCCCTTGCTCAGGTAGAACACCCGTGAAGCGAAGGCGCTCAACGCCAGCTGCGACGTGAAGCGCTGTTTAAACGCCCAGCTGCGGTCGTGGTCCGGGAATGAAGCTGCCAAGTAGCGGGATAGTGCCTCCGATGGTACCTACAGATATTCGAGCCAAAGAATAATAACATGAATGTCAATCGAGCGGACCATTAAGTAAAGAAGAATTTAAAAAAAAAAATTGAAAAGAAAAAAATGAAAAGCCGCCGTTCTTCATCCTCTTTGCCAACTCAATCGGAACTCGAAACGCACCAGCTGGCGGCGAATACGGTCAAAGGCATCGCGGCGAAACTGAGCAAGTTGCTGCTTGTCGGTATTGTCCTTCTTGTTGCCTGCCTCCCTCTTGACCCGGTGGGCCTCCTCCATCCGAAGGTTGTAGGCTGTCATGATACCATGCTCGGGATCATTCGCCGTTTCGCGATGTTCACAGTAGTGCTCCAGCACATCCTCCAAAGACACGTGCGGACTTGGTTCCTGTGAGAAGAGACACGCGCAATGAGTGAGCACAGCGCCTCTTTTTGACGCCTATGAGCGCCAACGTCAACCGCACCAACGCACCATGAGAAGCCGGACATGCGGGCTCAGGGGCACGGTGCGGGGAATCGTAAACTGCAAGCCACGCTTGGCAGACTCCTTGTGCAAGCGCAAGATTGGGTTGATCAGGCGCAAAAGAGCCTGATAGCGCTCCTCCGTGCGAGCAAAGCGAGCGGGTGTGTTTTGCACCAAGAAGGAGTACACCTAAGCAGCATAGCGCAGGCAAATGTAAACTGAATGAGTACAAATCAGGATAGGCTCATTTAGGGTACCTCTAGGCAAGGCGGGCGCACAAGCGTGAGGTGAGACAGTCTCGCCATACCTTGCCGTCGCGGCCTCGGATCTTGAGCCGCCGATAGCTGGCCCAGTGAATGCGCACAACCTCCACGTCGGGCAAGAAGGACTCGATGCGCACGATGCTATGCGCATGTAGCCGCTCCTCCATGTGCTCACCTGGCAGCTCAACTTCCATCAAGGACGGGGTGAACTGCGACAAGACGCGACTAATCTCCTCCAACCGCAGCATGGTGGGTCGCTCTGCAACCACGTCAGCAATTTTCTTGTGCCACCGCCGAAGCCGATCCACACACACAGACATGGGCATGTTCTGGATGCCGGAAAAGTCGGCCCTAAAGTCCTCGCGACGTGCTGCGAGTGGATGGGGAGCCGCAAAACCACTTTCCAATAAACGTCGCAAGTGCATGCGAACCTGTGCGGGTGCCCCCGCGTCTGCCAGCATGGCAGGACCCCGCTCGAACATCATAAACGCTGCCTTCAAGCACTCATCCAACAGCACGCGCAGCGTGCGTAGGAGCTCCTCCTCGTGTGTTGATTTGAAGCGCACCACCACCTCGTCAATTAGATTCTCCAGCACGGCAGCCAGCATTGAATGCTTATTCCGCACCATTTGCATGGCACTTCCAGCCGCTTTGAGGGCCGTCTAGCACGCAAGCCAACGACGTGAGCCCCCAAACCAGAGTGACCAAGTCCACAGCTCGCCGCGGCACGCCAATTCAAACGCAATGCATCCAACAACAAAGTGCAACGGGCTGGCCTTCCTCTGCCCTCTCTACCTGCCCCCCCGAGTTACCCTCACACCCAAAATTTGGAAAGACAAACAAGTATGGGCAGAAAGAACAAACCTTGATACGCTCGCGCGGATCGGCCTCGCGCCCTCGGCCTTCTGCCGTACCATCCTCCATCTTGGCGCGTTTGCTCGAAGAGTCGCCGCCCGTCGATAAACCACGGCGGTTCATGTCATCGGCGGTATGCTGAGCAGCACGGTTATCTAGGAAGGCCGTGCGCAGATGATAATACGTGGCCTGTGGCCACTGCTTGGCTAGGCGCAGTACAAGCGTCATAATGTGAGGCAGCTCCGGCCGACTCAGGGCAGTCGATAGCTGGGGGATCCACGCCTTCCACACCGAAGCATCGACCACATCAACCATCTTGGTGAAGGCATTCCCAATGGCCGCCGTGTCGTCCTTGGACAGAAGCATCAAACAACGCGCCACCAAACCCTGTGTCTCACTCGACGAGATCTTGCACCGCAAGGCTGTCATCGCACACATCATACTAGCCACCCCCCATTCGCGCGCCTGCCGCGCCTGGGAGCGAGCCAAATCTCGCTGCCGGTTGAGTTGCTCCGCAGACACGGCCCCTGAATTGGCGCCATCAGGCCCCAAGTTAGGCCGCTTGGCCCCGGGCTCCCCACCAGTCGCAGAGGCGTCATTGCCACGTTCCTGCAGGTCAAGCAAGTTGCGCGCCTCGCTGGCGGCATGGGTCGCAGCCAGACTAAACATGTGGTCGCAATAGCGATGCCATGCCAACCACGAATAGCCGACATCATCTGCCACCCGTACGGCGGCCGAAAACAGACGATTGGCCTCTTTGAATTCGCCCTTGCGGTGGAGCACCGACGCCTTGAGTGCCAGAAGTTCGCCGTTCTGCTCTTGACTGAAATGGCCCAGCGTGATGCCGTTGATGACGTCCATCTGCGCTTCAAAATCATCGGGTGCCAACTGCATCTCACACAGAACATGTTCACGTGCTTTGACAAAAAGCTCCGATGGCGGTACTTTACCAAGATTATGCAGAGACTGCAGGCGTCGCTCGCACACCGAGCGGATGCGATGCTCGCGCGCCGTGTGAGCTAGCCTATTCAACGTGCTGGCCATGTCTTTGAAAGCTGCCTCATGGTTGGTGGCTGCGGCTGGATCGGATTTGGTCGTTGGCCCAGCCAACGAGGTAAGCCGTTCGTAAACAAACTGACGCCAGAGTAGGAGATCATCCCAAGTATTCATTTCGTCCCACAAGCACGGCATTCGGTGCCGCCATGCGTCGAGGGTGTTGCTCACTTCCTGGGGCCCATAGCGCCCGCGGTTCACCGGCATGTGCGCTGCCAGCACGTGGCTGCTTTCTTGCACCTCAACCAGACGTTGATACTGCTGCAACAATGGTACGTGCGCCGCACCGACAATCTCTGGAAACCGCACCCAATCCTGCAGGCCCAGGCGCACGGCGTCCTCATATAGACCGACCACGGCCTGGGGGTCCAGTGCGTCGTTGCTCGACATGAGCACGATGGCCTTGTGCAGCTTGGAACGCATGTTTGCCTCCTGGTGATTCCCCAGCTTGTCAAGCGCATCCTTGGCCACCCGCCATTTGCGAAGCTTCCAGGCGGATTCGACCATCAAATCACGATTGTGGTTCTCCTCCGCCAGCTTGAGCAAAAGGTCGTGCTGTCCAAGACGACGGGTGCAATCAATCCAGTGCTCCTCCCAAAGCTGAAATTCGGCCTCGCGCAACTCGCCACCCTTTTGTTGAGTTTTTTGCACGGCGGCTTCGTAGGCGCCCTGCGCTTGCTCCCAGAAAGCTTGCTGCTCCCATCCCAGAGCACGGCTGGTTTCCGTCAATTTGGCGCGCAAGCGCCACTGGCCATACCACGTGTCCCGCTCGTTAAGTTGCAAGTACAGGTCGGCCAGCGCATCCCGGGCAGGATCAAGCTTGCCGGCCGTGCTCTGATCGCGCTGATCCGTACGCGAAATCTGCGCCCCAATCATGTGGATGCACGTGTGCCACAGATTGTGTGTCATGGCCAGGTGGTGCAAGAGCTGGACAGACAGCGACAGGCTGGGGTTGGCACACCGTGAGATGCCCACCAATAAAGCCTTGACATTGCTTGGTCGAACCAGCGCCTGATCCACGTGGAAAGGATTTTGAAGCAATTGATCCAGAGACGCGGCCAGCACCTTCTTCTCCTCGGCCTTGAGCAAAGGCCACATGAGCGGGAAGAGATCCATCCAGAGTGCCTGCGCCGCCGTGGGTTTCAAATGGCCCAAGGAGCGCAGGGACTTTGTGAGCCCTCGCAGCGACAATGAACGCATGGTGTGGAGGAAGCGACCGTGGTGCTCCACAATTTGTTGGCAGGCCGCCGTCACACCCGCGTCGCTCTCCATATCCTGCACCACCTGCAATGTAGGGAGGCACAGCACCTGCTTGGACCCCACCACGGGACTCTCGAGGACAGCGCCATGGAGCACAATGTCGAGGCAATGTTTGAGCCAGAATGTGTGCCCAGCATTCTCCCATCGTTGTGTTTGGTGGCTAAAACAGTAGTCGAGTCGATCAAACAGGCTCGCCACCTTGTTAGGCTCATCAAAAAGGGCAAAGAAGGCTTCACGCTGGACATCCGAGGGGCTACGCAAGCCCGTCAAAAACCCAGGCTCGAGGCGCTGCGTCAAGTCTGTGTTGCGGAGGCGCGGCGTCGTGAAAATTCGCATGATGCACTCGAGAAAGGTTTCCAAAACGCTTGAATCCTTGAAGCCACGCGAAACGACGGCCGCCTGCACTCGTGCCATAAACATGGCCTTGTCCTTGAGCGGGAACATAACGTCGTGCGATTCGTCGATGGTCCAGTCGGTAAAATACTTGCATAGACGCTTCATGATGTTCGCGTTTTCCGTCTTGTCCACCAGCGTAAGGAGAACGGCAATGAAGCTCTTGGCCCTTTGTGTTGTATCCATGCTACGCAGTCGAGGGCTGATCAACAGCACGCAATGGTGAATCACGTCCGCCACATCATCCTCACTCGGCGGCGTTGATCCGGGCTGAGCCGGGCCGGGAGGAGCTAGCGAGTTGAGATGGTCTTTCTGGGCGCGCAGCAGAACCTTGCACAAGACCGTGACCATTTCCTTCCAATCGACCTTGGCAAAGTGTCGACCGTGTGAGTCAAGGCGCGTCAGCAACTTGAGGTGGTGCAGCAAATTGGGATACGCATCCCCGACCTCGGCGGGTTTGATCTTTGCCTCACACATTTGCTCCAGCAAGGTCAAAATCTCTTCCACGGATCGCAGTGATGGTGGCACCTGGTTGCGATGCAAGCCAGGCGCCGCTGCAGCACTGGAAGAAGCATTGTTATTACCCGTCGTGCCAGCGATTGCAGCTGCCGCCGCTGCCGCCACAGCGGCGGGCGTGTCGGGAATGGCCAATGATGGTGCCGTTTGTGAGCTCTCACGCCCACCCTCTGAGCCTTTGCCAGAGCCGCGGGCTGAGCGCGCTGTCGTAGGCGTGGCGGTGGCTGAGTCTAATGCCCCCGAACTAGCAGTGGCAGGCGGCCCGTACTGGCGTAGCTTGAGGCAGATGTTGTCCACCAAGTCATCAAAAGCTTCGTTGAGTTTGGTGTGCATGGATTGCGCGATGGCAATGAGCGCCTTGCGCAAGCCGCCCAGCATAGGACCCCAGCGTTCCATGGGCAGGCGCCGCACAAACAGAATCAAAAGACGAACCAATGTGTATACGTGCACCACATTGGTTGAGCTAGAGCGATCGACGTTGGCGTAAAACAGCTTCTCAAAGCGCGCGATAGACAGGTGTGCATCCAACCACAGCTGGGGATGCATGACTTGATTGATGAGGCGCAGGCACCGATGGGGGATGCTCTTGGACGAGTAGTCGTTGCTCGACTCGGGTTGTGAAATGGTAAGCACCAGCAGATTTAAGATGAGCTCTTGGCAGCGACGACTCAGCAGTCGGTCCGGAGGTGTCTCGCTACCACCAGATGCCGGCTCAACCCGACGTGGTGAAGCCGTCTCCTTGGGTGCCCGGCCAACGCTTGAACGTGCAGCTGAGGTTTCGCCGCCAGGTGTTGTCGCGCTTTTAGGTACCATGGAGGAAGCTGCAGTGCGCACAGGGCTGTGTGCGTTTTTAGCAGCAGGCGCTGAAGTGGCCGGAGCGCCAATATGCCCTGCGCTGGCGCTCTCCGTTTTGGCTTGTGCGGCAACAGCAACTAGCGCTTCTTGCGAAGCCGGGGCAGAGGGGAGGGTCGTGGGGGCAACATGGTCGCCATTGCCTTCGGTGTGCCGCGCGACAACGTCCAAGTCCCAGCGAATCAACAGCTCTGCTGTGTCCACCAGCAACTTGCGCAAATCGGGCGAGTTTTGTTGGCTCAAGCGACGTAAGCTCATGGCCAGTGGTTGCGCAAGTTGCGAGCGAAACGGCAAGAAGAGCTCGGGGGCAGCACAAAAAATGGGCAAAACCAGCTGCACTTGTGAAGATTGATCGCGGATTAAGACGTCCTGGATTTTGGCCACCCACGCAGGCGACTGAGACGCATCGTCGTCCCTGGCCTCTCCGCTGTTCTCGCCTCCCAATGCTGCGCTCGTCGTAGTGGCAGCGTCATTGTTTGCTGTGGATGCTTCGGTGGTAGAAGAAGGGTTTGCTGAGGGCTTGGCATCAGCAACCTGCCCATCTCCACTTGAAGACTGCGTCGCAGCATTGCCTGCACCCTGGGGGGCACTTGAAGTCGAAGCGGCGGTTGGTGCAGTCTCTGCGCGTGTGTCCATGGCCTCGTCCTGGGCTTCGACCTTGACTTGGGCCTGCCCGTCAGTCGCTGCCGTGGTATTTGGGGCGGTGGTGGTCGAGGCGGTGCCTGTGACAGTGGTAGAGGCAGTGGCCGCCGTGCTTGGAGCGGTCGTTGAGTTTGCCGTCGTTGCGGGAGGCGTCGTGGTAGTGGAGCCTGTTGGCTGGGCTGCTTGAGCTTTGTGCCATTCCGCGGCTTGCTTCTGCTCCAGCCGCTCCGGAGTCATGAGCGGTTGCAAGATGGCGAGAGCCTGACGGGAGGTATTCTTGGCCTCACTGGAGTAGCCATCAATGATGGCAAGATACATCTCCATCATCATCTCACCATCGTAAAACTCAAAGGCATCGACAAAATAGACAAGCACGAGCGTGCCGGCCTGACGCAAGGCCACGTCATCCAGGTTCCATTCGTTCTCGCCCTTGAAAAAATGCTTGTAGATAAAGGCAATGTAGTCGCGGTAGAGGTGGGCAAGCGCTCGACGTAGCGCGGCATGGTTTTTTGCATTTTGACCGATGGTGCCCAGCAAGTGTATGAGGGCCATTTTGACGTCATCCAGCACTTCGGAATAGTCGTGCTGCTGCAGGACGGACAGCAGGCGATAGAAAAAGGTTTGGGCCTTGGAGCTTTCGTCACTGCGCAGCAGGCTATCCAGCTCACCCTTCTGAATGGCTGAAGCCACGAGCGGTGCAATCACCCGCTCGATGGCCACGGCCTTGACGGCCTGGGTCTGCTTGGCGTCATTGATGTAGGAGAGCAAGCGCAGCAGAATGTCGCGCTTGACCGTCACATGGTAATTGCCCAAATGGTTGAAGAAGAAGGAGCGTGCAAAGCCCAGATCCATCAGGCTGCGGGACGTGAAGATTGGCAAGAGATTGTAAAGCACGTCGGCTTTGCGTGCTACCACGGGCAATGCCTCGAGCAGGGTCATCAGCAGCAGGCGTGGCTCGTTGCTGCGGCACGGTGGGATGGCCTCTTGATGCGAGTTCCAAGCCAAAGTGTAATTCCACAATTTCACAAGCGAATCCAGCAGGCTACTCTTGTTGGACAGCAGGTCGGGGTGATAGCGGCCGACCTCCTTCAACATGGCCACTGCTGTGTACTGCACCGACGAGGCCGAAATTTGCTGCGTTAAGGTAGTGGCGGTACGCAGGGCATGATCGCCCGGAACGAAGATACGCTCGATGAGGACGTCTGCCTTATTCACAAAAGTGTTTCGAAGCGCTGCCCCAGCCTCGCGCTCCTGCAACGCCAACAAGAGCAGGGAGGCATGCTTTTGCGATGAAATTTTGTCAACGAGATACGGGAAAGTTTCGGCGGGGAAACGACACGTCAGCTGCACGGCCTCTTGCAGCAGGGGTGATGAGATATGACGGCCCATTGCAGCGTGCACATTCAGGACAATGTCAATGGCCTGTGTGACACGGCGAGACGCCAGACTGTCCATCTCAACCAAAACGGCAAGGATGGCTTTGCTGATCGCAATGTGCCTGGATTCAGTCCAGGTCACGCTGTTGGTCTTGCTATTGACCGTGATGTGCTCAGCACACTGCATTAAGTATTTGAGCAGCGTGGTTGTCAGTGTCTCGTTGAAGTAGCTCACTGGTACAATCTTGAGCATGTGCTTCAGGGCGTGCAAGCGATTGGGCGTTACTTTGTTGAAGTCGCCAAAGTCCACTGACAGGCGCAAGACGGTTTTCAGCTCCTCGGCCGCCAAATTGGCATCAATGTGCAGCATCTGCAGTGCCTCAAATGCAGCTTGCGCCACGGGCTTGGAGTCGGAGAGCAACATGCTTACAAAAATCTCAGAAACCGCACGCAATTCGCTGTGCCAGGCAGAATTGGTCATGATGGTAGCCATCAACAAGATGGCTTGCACGCGAAGCTCGGTAATCAACTCGGCTGAAATGTGGGACAGCGGCTTGGCAGCGTGGTTGGCTGACTGATCGCTGAGCTTGCAAATCTGCAACAGCTCGCGAAAGTAGCTGCCTGTTGAGCTGTTACTGCTGCTGCTGCTGCCGCTGCTGTTGTGGCCACTGCCTGGCTGGCCGTGAGCAGATGCACTGGCCGTGGGCGCGGCATGGCCGCCCGTGGCAGACGATTGACTAGAATCGCCGTCATTAGAATCAGCTGCGGGGGTGGTTGTCACTTCACCGGGGGTGCCCGAGTTGCCATCGCCCGGCTTGTCAGAAGCTGGCTTGCCAGCGGCATCCTGGTCAGTCGATGAAACGGCACTCTGGGAGTTTCCTGCCGTGGTAGTGGCTTCAGTCGAGGGCACCGTGTGGCCTGAGGCGGGTGCGCTTGGGGTTGTCGTTGCAGACATAGATGATGGAGCTGAAGCATCTTGCGTTTTGCCATCGTTCGCCACCTCTTTCCCGTCTGTGGGCTCCTCCTTGGGTTGCGTGTCACTGGAAGCCGGCGTCGTTGCTTCTGCTCCTTCGCCTGAGCTTGTGGTCGACGGCTGGGCAGTTGCTGCCCCAGCGACGTTCTGGTTGCCTCCAGTGGTCCCTGCGGTTGTGTCTGTAGACGGCGTGGAACTCGCGTTGCCGTGTTGGGCTGGTGTTGCCCCTGCCTCACTCGGGGGATCAAAGGAAAGCAGAGGCGGTGAAATGGACAGACAAAAGCGAAGTGCGTCCATGCGCCCAATTTGCACGGCGATGGGTGTTGACCGCGCCGTTTTCGGAACGGCCATCGACTTGAAACCACCTGTTTCGAGCAAGTAGGCGACTGAGACCTGGCCCTTGCGGGCCAGCGCATGAAGGCCATTCATGGCCAGCTGGCGCACTTGTTTTTCTCTCGCCACAAGCTCCTTGATCAACAAGCGCACGACGTCGCCCCTGCGAATCTGCTCTTGTGCGTCCAACTCGTCGCGAGCAGGCGGCTTATCTGCTTCGGGCGTCGCGGCTTCATCGTCTCGTGCTTCACGAGCAGATGCCTCGCCCCCAGATGTTTGCCCGCCGCCATGACTGTCACGTGGCGCCGAACCGGGTAGACTGCTGGCGCCGTCACTGGGCTTGCGCGCGGCATGCTTGACACTTGCGCTCTCGCTGGCCGCGGCATCTTCGGCGCTGTCAACATCTGCAGAAACATCCATGCTGCCGGTGTGATCGTCGTGCTCCATCGACTCTGACGCCTTGCGCTCAGATATGCGCGAGAATCGTGCGGGACGCGAGGCGAGATTAAAGGGTGTATCATCGAAGGCCTTGTCAATCAGGCGTTTGACCAATACCTGAGCTTCCTCCGAGCGGGTATTGGTAGAGTCTTCCACATCCGAGGCGGCGGAGGCAATCATGGCACGCATCAAGTGCACGCAATAACCACGGATCATTTCTGGCGGCAGAATCTCCAAGAGAACAGACACACCAAGCAATCCAGCCTGCTTGCGATACCACACGTGTTCGTGGCAGGAGTGATAGATCACGCTGACGGCGGCGGCGGCCAGGGGCAGCTCACATAGGTGAACTGGGTGACCAAGGATATCAATGCATGACTGTAACAGGTCCTGCAGCATCCATCGACCTAGCTCGGGCAGGGTCGTTGCCTCTTGGCATAGCGCCCACGCACAGGCCTCAACGATAACATCCATGTGTTGAAGGACAGACTTTTCCTTTTCCGATCGTGCTGGCGCAGCCTGGCCACGCCGGTGATGCTGCTCGCATGCCAACAGAGCAAAGTGGGCCAGCACGCCCTTGAGAAATAAGGTGGCTTCTTCACGAAGTGCTGTGTCCTGCGCCGCAAGCACGAGACCTTGAAGCAGCTTGAGCATGGTATCATGCCACCGCGTGCGTGGGCGCGGGTGATGCTGGTCGAGAATGGGAACGTAATCGTCCGATGGAAGCGGGATGCGGTTCGCCATGCAGGCCAGCAAGGTCGTGTCAGGACTCGAGGTAGATTCCAAATCCAAAACCGAGGCAAAGCTTGCCTTGAGGAGTTCAAAAGCATCACGCTTATAGGAGGCACCTTGCGGTGCACGAAGTACGTCGAGGGCCACGGGCAGCATGTGATCCAGGGGCAGGTGCACGCCATTTTCCTGGTCAAAGGCAAGAAGGACACGAAGGCAGGTGCCGTCCAGGTCCTCCGGCTCCAAGGATGGGGCTTTGATGGCTTCTTCGCGATTACGGCCAGCAAGCTTGCCCAGAATACGAAGGGCCTTCTCACCGTGGCTATGCGTGGCCGACCGTGGCTTCATGTGGCTCCACAGGGCCAGCATCAACTCTTGTCGGACTGGGTCGATAACAGGATCCAGGAATTCTGGTGTCAAGTTGTCAATGCACAGCTCCAAGGTGCGCAAGCCTTGGGACACCAGATCGTCGGTGGCGCGCAGCGCCAACACCAATGGCCGCATCAAAAAATGGAGATGGGGCAAGAGCGCGCTCAGCCGTACGGGAACAGTGAGGCAAAGCTCGACCAAAAGATCGCGCAATTGCTGGCGTGTAGTCGTCAACAGTAGCTGGTTGAAGCGCGCCAGCAGGTTGGGCAACAACGGCAGAAATTCCTTGTATAGCAGTTCAAACTTGCCGCCCCCGATGGAGCGAAAGAGTGCGCGCAACAGCAGAAAGAACTTCAGAGGCTCCTAAGAAAACAGCGAGTAACAGGGAAAATACGAAGGTTAGGCTTTGAGATGAGCGCGCGCACCCGCGCACACGCACGCACACACACATGCGCTCACCTTAGCGGAAGGGGCATATTGCATGCAGTCATGGATGATGGTCTGCAGGTGTGGCTGCAAAATCTGCTCATTGGTGTCCGGCATGAGCGCAATTGAGCCAAAGGTCAGCTTGAAAAGACGCAGGCGCACCAAAGCGCGATTCTCGTCTTCCTGGCCCAACAGCTTGAGGTTTGAAACTAGATGCTCCAATAGAGCATAGGCAAATGCAGCCGATGTCTCCTTATTTGAAAGCAACTGCTGCGGCACGATCAATAAAAGGTTGTTGTCGAAAATACGATCAAGAAGAAGGTCAACGCGTGGAGTCACCACCTCTCGAAACGTGAGGTGGTCTATCGAGGTCCACACCGAGGCAAAGCTCTCCACAAACTCCTTCTCTTCCGAAGAATGCTTGACTGGAGTACGGGCTGTACCCTGAAGGGGTCGCCATGAGCCATCAGCGTTGACTGCATAAAGGTCAAACAATTTTAGGCCGCTGCGCCAGAGTTGAAAGAAGAGAAACACCTCAACGCTGGACACCGTGCGAACGGCTGGTGGGGTCGCTTGAGGAGCGGTTGAGCTTCGCGCCAGAAGCTGGTTGCACTGCGCAATGACCCACACTAAGATTTTGAGGCCTGTGATCAAGGTTTTCACGAGAAAACGCAAATCCTTGATTGAGTCGATAGTCTCATCGGGCTGCGAATGACTTTGTACGGGGGTACAGAGATCAGTATTAATCAGGTCGCTCGGGGCACAGTTGCCTGGGTCCCCGGCCAAAAAGCCAGCCTCACTGGCCGAGATGAGCGGTGGAAATTCTGAATCCGCGCGTTTCAAAGGTGTGTCAACGCACGCGGCGAGTTCCTCGTCATCACTGGCGCTCTCAGCACTGGCCCGGCTGTTCCGCACTGCCGAATCAGTACCGCCCAAGCCGTCGCCCGAGTCGATATCCGCTTGTGGAGCACGGCTTTTTGTGGCTTCGACAGCAGCTGCTGCTTGCATTGACCGTTGCTCCTGAAGGTGCTGGTCGTGGTGATGCTGCAGCAAGCGCGCAAGGTTCCAGGATGCCAGGCTGTTCATCTTACTGACGAAAACCGCAAAGATGTGCATCAGCAGTTGTCGGTAGTTGACGGCCGTGGTATTGCTAAGGTTGCTTCCCATCATTTCAGCCAAGTTGAGCAGAAGCTTGCAAGACATGGTCTGGATGTTGACCGGGAGAGTTGTGTCTTGCACGTTGCGGAGGAAGAGATGAATGGCTCGGCGAAGCTGTGGCATCTGCAGGTCTTTCCGGACATGATGAACAAGATCAGCCAGAGTGCTGAAGGCCAAGGGGCGCAGGATCTCGCGGCAGGACCAGCCCTTGCCCACAAGAAGCTCTTCATCCATCAGCTTGTCAATCTGGGTGACAAAGCCTTTGCGAAAATCGGACGCCAGAATATGGCGCACGGCAATCAAGAGTTCCTTGCGCAGCTGGGCACTGTTGGAAGGAGCGCTGTTAAGGAGCTGGAGCACAAACGTGGGCAACTGGTCCTGATATACCCGAAAGACCTCATTTAACCGCTTGTTTAATATGTAAGCAATGAAAGACAAAGTCTTGACCTGCGAAACATTTTGCACGGGTGCGTTCAGAAAGGATGAGTGCGAGGTGGGGCGAGCCGATGCGAGAGAGACCAGTGTGATGCGCTGTACCTGTGCGCCAATGAATTCGCGGTGGCGCTCTTTGATATCAGCAGGTGGTCGAGGTTTCAGCTGGGGTGCATGCGAGAGCACAGACATGGCCAGCGGCACAAAGTCGGGAAGAAGCTGCTTGATGGCGTCGTTCTGCGGTGACCATGCATACGTGAGTCATGCTGCTTGGTGGATGGTAGGTACACTGAGATGGGCTCAAGAGGCCAGTGTCATGAAATACGTACAGTGCCGTTGTAGAGCTGATAAAGAAGTACGATTACAATGGGGCACTCGGTCAACACCTTAAAAGAGTAAATCCCTTTGAGGAGCTGGTTTGGATCCTCACCCAAGGCCGGTGCAACATCTTTGGGCACCCCGGTCGAGGTGATCAAGCCACGGCGAAGTGCTTGAGCCTGAATGTTGGCATGTGCACGCTTGGCGCTCTCGGCGCCTTGGCGCGAGCGTTGTACGCTGACAGTGAGTTGCTCTAGTCGCTTAGTTGCATTGCTCTGAGCAGACTGAGCCTATTTCGAGTGCCAGCGTGACGTCCAGCCGATGATGTACAAAAGGAGAGGAGGGGAAACAAAGATGAGACCAGGGATGTCACGACTGTGTGCAGCGAAGCACCTCCTTTCCCGCCTCGCTCATCGTCAGGATCAAGTCGTAGCACGTAGATCGACAATCATACATTGGTCAAGTTTTGGCTGGCCGCGGCGAGCTCCTTCTCGTGTTGGGCCAGAGTTTGCCGAGCGCCTGCCAAGTGCACTGAGTTGGGCTCACACCGCGCAATCTATCACGAAGAGTAGAGGATTAGGTGAAGGTTGCGAACAGCGATCACACAACCTCTTTGCCACTGTTTCGTGCGTGCAGTAGAACAGGCCCCAAAAAAAAAAAAAAATGAGAGGGAACGGGATGTAGAAATGCACATACGCTGGCCTTGGCTGTCTCAATCTTTTTGTAGATGCTGGCAATGGCTTCGCGGGCGGCCTGAATCTGCTCCCCAGTGCGCGGAAGCTAAAGGGGGTTGCAGGCAAAAAAAGTAAGGTAAGGAAGAGCGTCGTTTTACGATGAAGAAGAGATATGAAGCGTCAAAGCACCCGGACGCACATCTTCGTCAGCTTCACTCTTTTGCTTCAGGAAGCTCTGATACTGTGCATTGGCGTTTTCAGCCGACTTGAATCTGTTGTCGAGGACTTTGCGCAGATAGTCGTCGGTGAAATGATCACCAAAAGCCAATCCCTATCAAGCATTTGAGCGGAGCGGTGCATGTGCATATTAGGCAACGCAGCATCATACGGGCAGGCCAATGGCAGCGTGCGGTTCAAAGGCAGGAGTGACAGGAGCATACCACGCTGAGGGCAAAGTTGTCGAAGACAGCCCGCACAAAGTCCAGAAAGGAAGAAATCTGTTCAAATAGGCAGGGCCATGGTGACTATATGAGCAAACACAAACACACACACACATACACACACACACACACAAGCTTCCTCGGTTGCTTTGAAAAATAGTATGGTTGCTGATCGGGGCACGAGGCAGGCCGGCACATACCTGCTCCATTTTCTGCTCTCGATAGTTTTTGTGCATGTCAATGATAATCTTGAGGGCGAGGGCAGCGTTCAAGTGGTTTTCCTCGTACAGCATCTCAGTCATCGCACTCAGAATTGGCTGCGTTCATAGGTCAGTGTCAAGCATCAATACGAAGCGAAAAGATGCGAACGAAGCCTGAAAATGTGGAGAGGGGTAAGTAGAATCCTACATCAGTCAAGTTGGCCTGTTTGATGGCTTCCGTGTGTGGCATGCCATGGAGTAGGGTCAAGGCCAGATGTCGCAGCACCTGTACAACCAAGGGATATCAGTTGAGCCGTCTCACAGGCTCGGCGTTTCAAGAAGGAAACAAAAATATTGATGGTGGAAGAGGGATGGCAGTTATTGGCGGCACAAAGGGTTTTTAAGATACAAGAGCGAACCTGATCATCGGAATTGGCTTGATAGCTGACAGGTATACGCTTTAGAATGGCCAGGAGCTCCTCAACAAATGCCTTGGCATTGGGGCCAAAAGTGTTTTCGGGCTGTTGACAAGCGTATTGCAGTTCCTCCAGCGCCGCCTTTGTTTCGGCAGGACCTACACGAAGCAGGGCATACATCCAGGGAAAAGGTCAATATTGACGACGTTGGCATGATCATTGTCCTCACAAGTGCGCCAAAGCACACCCAAGGAATCTTGTGCCTGGCCCTCGCTCGCTCGCTTTTTTTTCACGGCGCTTCCCCGGCCCCCTTCCCAATTCTTCCTTTCTGGCCCGATTTCAGCTGATGACCACCCAAAGCATTTGGGTGGGACCAGTTTGCCGGCGAGGCAAGGGGTTGTTGGGGCAAGTCCTACCGGTAGCAGCTTTGACTTTGGTGAGGACTTTGCCAATCGGTGTCTGGCCTGCATCGCCATGATCAGCCGTGTCGAGATGGCGATCCTCCTCCCCACCCACTGTGGAGGCCCGCCGGCTCGTGCCGTCCACCTCCATGGTGCCACGACTCCGCGCCCACGGGCGTGGTGCTCACGTCGCTTCGAGCCCTGTTGTGAGCCACACTTGAGACCATGGGGGACCACAAACAGGATTGAACAAAACGTCGTCGAGACGAAGCAACAGCAGCTGGCCTAAAAACCACCAAATAAAAGGGGGGACCCTTGAGAGTGAGCCCACACAAACGCACTGCAAAGGCGTCCAGTCTGAACAGTGGAAAGGATCAATAAAGGTTGAACGACAAGAGCAAACTGCCTGCCCTATTTTACGCCGCCATCACCGACCACCACTGTGGCTGCCACTGCTCCATCCAGCCGCTGCCGTTCGCACTCTCTTCCCTCTCTCTCTCTCTCTCTCTTTGCTCGTGTGTGCGGGTTTCTTGGCGTACCTCCGCAGAAGCAGGAACCAACAGCTGTTGTTAACTGGTGTTCTTCGGTGACGTTGCAACGGTCAAGTCGCGGGTCGCTGGTATCTTGTCGGTTTGAGTATGCCTTTGAGACAATTTTTCCATTCTCAAACATTTCACTTTCGCGCACACTCATTGTGATCTGACATCCCACCCGCAGTTTACTTTAAAGAAAACCAATCTTTTTCTCCTAAAATAAACTACCAGACCCCCGTCACCCGTGTCCCCAGTCGACGACCAGAGGCTCGCTCGTGGCAGACGGCAGCGCTCGACTGTTCCTGCTCGTCATCTCCTTACCACCGCATACTTTTTTTGCCCTGGCACTGGGCAGCGGTGCTGGGGTGGAGGTTGGATTGGAGCACCCACGAGGGATGCATCGTGCTTTGAGCAGAGTATCAAAAGATCGCGAAGATCGTGAAGATCGTGGAAGATCGACCTGCGTCCCGAGAATGAGGACAGGTCTTTGATTGAGACGGACAAGGACTCGTGAGCTGACTTACTCAGAGCTTGTGTTTGTCTTTTGAACCGGTGTCATGGCCGGCAGCTCAGCTGCAAGTGCTGAGGATCATGTGCCCGCGCCCGACAACGCCGTGTTCTTCTTCACCTTTCTCCTCATCACCCTCGCCAGCATCACTGTCGGTGGTCTGCTGAAGCGCAAGCTTGACTTTCCATTGCTCACCGGTTTCCTGATCACCGGCATCTTAGCAGGTGGGTCTCGTACAGGTGCCCGTTCCCCCCTCTCCCATGAACACCCACACGCACATGCATCTTCTACCATGAGTGGCTGCCCACAGCGAGCCCAAGCCTCGTCACTTCAGCTCATGGTTGCTTCTGGTTGGGATCATGCTGTGCTCAGGACCATACGTTCTCAAGATGTTGTCCAAAACTGAGGTGGACCAATTGGACTTTGTCTTTGACATTTGTCTCGGATTCATTGCCTTTGCAGCTGGCAGTGAACTCTATTATCCTGAAATCAAAGATTCCATCCAAGCAATCGTCAAGGTCAGCCGCTGTTTTGGCGACAGCACGTCATCAACACACAGGCTCCACTTGGCCATATTTCTTGACTGGCATGGCTTTTGCCGTAGATTACAACCGCTCAAACGATCACCATCCTCGTCCTGGGTACTCTGGGCGTGTGGGCCTTCAGCCCGATGACCTCATTTATGAAGGACATGGAACTATCCCAGCAAATAGCAGTCGCCTTGTTGACTGCTGCCATTTTCATTGCCCGGTTGGTGAAGCAAGGCCCAGGGCTGAAGAAAACCGATCGCATAATCGTAGTCTACCATCCGTGCTACCGTGCTTACTGCCTTTGCTGAACCAACCACCAGATCACCATCCTCTGCCATTGCCATCATCAACGAGCTGGGCGCCAAAGGGCCCTTTGTGCAAACGGCTCTCGGCGTCACAATGGTATGTTTTTCTGACATCGGCAAAAGTTGAGAACGCAGCCTCCGGCTGTGCTGGGCCCGAGGACATCATTACTACTCGGAGATCTGACCGAAAGCTTGCATTCCCTGACGCGCTTAGGTCACCGATGTCGTGGTTATCGTCACCTTTGCGATTTGCTTCGACGTTGCTGTTTGTTCCATGCTGCTGGCGCGACACGACCGCATCGGTTTGATATATGTTGCCCATCACCTCACACACGCGCACCTACCTTGCCAACCCATGCACGCACCTGTACGTCGTTGAGTAGAAAACGATTTTCGCTGACGATGAAAAGCTTCAGGGCGAGTTTGTCACTATTCTGATTGGAGAAGTCGTCGTCTCCGCCATCATCGGCTACGTTGCAAGTGCTCTAATCAAGCTTGTGCTGCGGCTCGAAGATCGGGCTGTCCGCGCCCATGTCGAGAAACACCACCCTCGCTTCTTCCGTCGTTGGTGGCGACCGTATCTCGAGGGCGAGGTTGTCCGTCTCCGTGGCATACTCACGCTTGCCGTCGGCTTCTTGGTGTTTTATCTGGCGGAATTTCTCAAGACTGAGGCCCACATTCATCTTGAAACCCTGTTGACGTGCATGGTAGCCGCGGCCATCATTGTCAACAGCGATAAAAAGCGCTGCTCGGATGGCCATGTGATTCACTTTCGCAAGCGCCTGCATCACGCACTCGAAGCTGTTTCCGAGCCCATTTACGTCGCCTTTTTCACCCTTGTGGGTCTTGGCCTGAACATCTCCGTCATCCCTGACGTCATTGACGTTGCCCTTTACTTTTTTTTCCTTCGCCTACTCGTCCTGGCTATCGGATCATTCATCGGATCCAAATGGGCTGGTGACCCTCCTTTGTTTGGAAAGATCTCCTGGTTGACCTGTACGTCCCCGCTGTCGGTTCCTAGCACGATCGCAGCCCGTTCAATTGCCGTCCCCGCCATCGGCTTGCCAGCACCCTGCCCTAGCGCATCACTCCGCAAGCACATGCCTTGAGCGTTGAAAGACCGCTTTTTGACGTTGTTGTCTTGCCTTTGTTTTCTCTTTTCGGCAGACCTAACCCAGGCCGGTGTGGCACTGGCGCTGACAGAAGAAATCAAGGAGGAATTCCAGCCTTGGGGTAAGAAGGCTGCATCGCTGGCTCTATCCTCGTGGCTGATCTGACCAGTGGCCTCGTTACTCAACATAGGTGAGGATTATGCCACGACCGTTGTTTCAGTCTTGGTCATTGGTCAGATTGTCGGGCCATTGACTTTCAAGTGGGCCGTACAGCGCGCGGGCGAAGCGCATCAAGCCGGTGCGGCGGCCGTCAGCGGCAATGCAGCCAATGCGGCCGCACGCCTGATCCATGTCTGGTGGCACGAGGAGGAAGAGGACGGGCCTTCACATGCCACCAGCTTTAGCCGATTGCCCACCGCCGATGAGCCTGTGGGCTTGAATGATGACAGTGTTCCCGCAACACCACTCAACGAATCCACTAGCACCCTGCTTACCTGAGAGAGTACCACCCATGCTTAAACGATAACAGAATAGCCGCTACCTGCGGAGTTATGGTCAAGTTTTCTTGACCCGAGAGGTCTGACATTGCCGGGCCGTGAGTTGACGTCAAATTGATCCAAATACAAGGCTGCCTGTACCCTTCGCCTCCCTGCTGTTGGTCGCGTTTGACATTTGATTTGCAGAGAATCGGAAGAACAACAAGGGCAAGGTGCAACTACACAGTTTGTAATTATCATGATAGATTCTTCTCGAGCAAGAATCAAAGCACGCTTTCCGACTGTGCGTCAAAACTCAGATATTCGCCCATAGTGGCACCTTCAAGTAGCCTTCGCGTCTCTGTTGCCAGTTCACGTGCCGAGACGCGCTTGTTCGGCCTCTCGTGCCAGCAACTTTGGATGATGCTGATTGCAAGTGCCACATTTGAAAGTCGTGAGCCCTAACGCGCGAGAAGCACTGGCAGGTGGAGGCCCAACAGCGACTTAGCAACAGTACAACGGATGGGACACCGACCTTTGAATCTCAGGTGGAATAGTGACTGACTCAAGCGCCAGACGCCCGCCGGAAGTAAGAAACTCCATAATCATTTGAAGTGTCCGCTCCCCGTATGGAGTGCGGGCTTCATGCCACAACTATCGGAATGATCCCGTTCCACGGAACGATGCAAATCGCATACGACATGCATGGAAAGCAAATGACACGCGCGTATCCTGGGCACAGTCCCTCGCTTCAACTTTGACCCAGCTTTGACGGACAAAACAAACCTCCCAATAAGTCACACCGACGGCCCAGATGTCCGAGGCCGTGGTGAATTGGCCCTTGGTCAGAGCCTCCGGAGCCATCCACCTGTTACAACCATGGCTGCGTGAGTCATGTCTCCACATGCCGGAGACTTTGAGCTGCCCCAAGCCAAGTCAGGTCGCGAACACATGGATACGCACCGAAATGGCATGTTCTCCATGTTTGTTGTTCGGTAGTAGTCCCGTGAACCGGACAGAAAACGGCCCACTGCAGCAAAGTGATCCCACGAGATTGATCATACATGAGATGAGGAGAAGCCAGCCTTTGCCGTCATATTCCCCTACGCGTTTGCATGCTACAGCAAGACAACGTGCAAGACAACGCACGTCCAAAATCTGCTAGCTTGGCGTGCAGTCGGTGCATCGTGCCAGGTTGCCCTGCGTATAGCAAAACATTTCGACAGGCCAAGTCTCGATGCAGCAAATGTCGGTAATGAACAAAGTCCATGGCCTGCGCAACGTCATCCATTACGCCCAACTGCCCAGCATGTGACATGCATGCGCATGCAGTGAGAATGCATGCCGCTAAAAACGCGGGCGATTGCCCCCTCATCCACAACAACATTGCCATCAAAGCAGCAGAGATGATGGCGTACCTTTTCAACGTGAGATAACTTCTGCCCACTCCTCAAATATTGCCGTGCATCACCAAGATCAGCGAGCTCCAGGACCAAGCCAATAGGAATTCTAACAGCCAAAGGGAGCACTGAGTGAATGTGCTGTGCAATAGAACTTCTAGGTGGTGGGGTGGCTATGCGCATGAAGGACGCACGTGTCGTGAACCACGGCCTCAATCCCCACAATGTTGGGGTGCTGGCAAACGTGATTCATCAGCGCCACCTCCATCATGACGGCCTTGACGTCGGACATCTGCAGTTCGAGAAGCGATCGGTGACACGCCGGACCTGAGCAAATGTACCAAAGTGCAGCGTGCTGCCAGCAGGAAATAAACATACCTCAACTGTCTCAAAAGTCTTGAGGGCGACGCTTCGAGTGCCGTTAAGTTGAGCCTGATGAACCAAAGTTGCAGGTCATTGCAAGACGCCGAGGGGATGTGGTGGCTGAGCGAACGCCCGGCAGACGCCCGTGTGTTGCAATTGCAGGCACAAATGGGTCGTCAGAATGTACTCACCTTATGAACGCGCCCAAAATTCCCGCGACCCAACACACTTTGGGTAACAACGCGTGACCTGGACGTACGGGCATGAGGCATTGCCGTATGAGCATAGGCAGAAGCTGTCAGAGAGTCAGATCGCAGGCGAGCCAAAAAGCATGTGTAGTGTTTCGTCAAACCAAGAAACTAACGCCGTGCAGTAGTTCGGGGTATGTTCCGACACGTATTGATCAAGGTCTGGCCGGCGATCAAGATCTCCTTGGACTGAGGCGGTGGACAACTGTCGCTCAAAGTCAAGCAGGCACATCTCCAATTGACCCTCCGATGACATAGGCACCAACTCATGTCCCTGCCATACTGCGCTCGCACCGCTTGCGCCACTGCTGTGGAGCGGCTTGATGCGGCGTCGAAACTTGAGCATTAGCAGTACGATGATAAGCACAAGGGCCACCCCAGCCACAGCGGCCCCGATGATCACTCCATTGGCAGAGTCGGAAGAGGACGCGTCCACAGATAAAGGCGTGGATACACTCTTCGCACGCGTGCTCTGCACTGGTGGGGAGGTCACGGCTACCGAGGACGTAGCCGCTCTTGTGCTGGTCGTTGTCACCTCCCCTAAAAATATCCGCCTGGAATACATCACGGTGCCTTTGTCAGCAGCATCCTGCAAGGCCGTGGTATTCATTGCCTGCAGCCATGTATTGTTTTGAAAGGTGTAGATATGATGTCCGTCAGAAAGGACATAGGCAGACGAGGGCAGCCAGAGTCTTGATGTGTTTTGCATCCACAACCACGGTGTTCGCGCATGTGTGGACAAATCCAGATGAAACACCCCCACGCTTCCCGGGCCTGTTTGGCAAGCCACAACCGCTTGCGTAGGCAGGTGCTCGTAAAACCGCACGCTTGATACAGACTGGCAGCCTGTGAGGGCAAAGGCGCCGGGCTCGGGGTCTTGAGTCCCCGACCCCTGCAGCGCAGAGACGATGAGCACGGCAGCTGGCACTGCGGCACGCATATCGGTGCACGCCACCACGGCATACTGCGTCGACAGCGCTGCTGTCGTGATGTTTGGTGTAGACGGAGGCAGCGAAAGAGCGAGACGCTGCCAGCATAACAAGGGTGCAACTGAACAATTGAGGACAAGAACCTCCTGTTGATTCACCAACAGCACAAGATCAGTCCCGGGAGCCACGTACACGTCGCTTGCCACATCCGTCAAAACACAATTGTAATCTGGGACCAGTGCATTTCCGGGAGTAGGAAGGATGCAAAATGCCGTCTGGACGCTCCGTGTGATTGAGATATAGACGGCGTTGGAGGACGCATCAAATCGCCGTGCCTGATCGGGGCTGTCCAGGTCACTGCGGTCTTTGCCGTACTGAATATGAGTCTCATTGACTGTCAAGAAATAAAGCCCGGTCGCTTTATCACTTCGCAACCACACCACCAAATACTCAGACGTGCTCAAGATTTGCCCTTGAAAGTTGCTACCTTGCAGATGCAAATCAAGGCTCGGGGGCGCAGCAGCATTCGAAAGAATGCGCAACTGCGGCCACGAGCCAATATGCAACAGAGCGATGGGTGAGGATAGGATACCCATGTTCAAGTCCAAGAGGGTGCCGTCGGTTGGCAAAGCGTAAGCCTGTTCACTCCAAGGCACAGTGCAGCTAAACAGCAGCGGCGCAGTGAGAAAACATGACAAAGGCGCAATGATAAGCATGCAGGCCTCGCGCCATCCCAAACACAATGATACACGAAACACACACCTCAAACCGACACCCATGTCGACTAAAGAGCCAGCCGCACAAGTCTCGCAGGAGCCCGAAGAGTTGATGACATCAAGCAACAGATGCTCATCAAGATCGCAAGATGGGTAGGCAAAGCAGTCACAAAAGCGAGTGGGACCTATGGCAGTGGGTTCGGTTCCAGTCACATCAATCAAGCCTTTGAGTTTGCTGGCGGTGCCGCTAAAAGTGAGTGGCTCCCACAGAACAACGTGATCAGCAAAACAACCAGAAGAGCCTTTGCAAAACAGCCACCAAATTTACAAGTGGAAGCAAGCACCGACCATAGGATAAAACTTGTTGTTCGCTGATTGGCGTGAGTACAAGCGTGCCTACCCCACGAGTATAAAAGGTAAAACTTGATGTGGTGTCCGAGTCAAATAAAACCTCAAGCCGAACAGTGCCAGTCCCTGAGTCTTGCCCAAATGCCAGGAGCTGATTGTCATCGCTGCGAACTTCAACAGACGTGATAGATCCATCGAAGCTCAACAGGTACGACAATACCCACACTCCAAATTTGGCAGGCTCTATATCAGCTACGGCCAGGAATTCAGCGCCTATGTAGCGATGTGATGTGGATGTGGCATTCACTGGCGGCAAGCACGTTCCAAGCTGAGCATCAGCGTGGGCGGCCGTAGTGGTCATCTCAAGCAGGGTGCCGCTAGCAGACTCGGCAGCCCCTCCTGGATAAAACATGAGTTTCGCCGCGCTAAGGCGACTGGTGTTGCAAACCAGATTGACGGCCAGATCATTCACCCTCAGCCTCACAGCCCCCACCGCATCGACGGTGAAAACGCTGATATACTCTGTGCTCGTAAATCCCGGTACGAAGAGCACGGGCGCAGTTGAATAGCAACCCTCTGGCAGCAGCAGGGGCAGGGCGTGAACATGCAACGCATCAGACAGCGGATAGAGTGTAACGCTGGGCTCACTGGCCTCTACCCGGACTGTGGTGGTAGAATCAATAAAGTTGAAGCGCCCTTGAGACGCATGCCCAGTTGTGGAAACAAGTCGGCATGTGGCGCTCTCAAGCTGACAATCAAACTGCTCAAACAAGTCAAGCTTTGCAGCCGTGCACAAGGAGCACTGCGTACGACGCGACCATGGCTGGGTATTGCAGGTAGTCTCATGAACCGCGCGATCGGAGCGCAAGATGTGAAACGGATAGCGATAAGGGTTATACACGTGCGCCATGGCTAAAGATCGAGCGTTGGTGGGGATCAGCATATTGCCAGTGAAGGTCGATGCACCACTGGGCCAGAACCGAGCAGATGAGCCCTCGGTCTCCAGAGCAACTCGCACTTCGAAATCGCCCGGCGGTTGATCAAAGAGCAAGGTCAGGCGCAGCGCAGCACAAAGGTTGGGCAAGCACAACGTGACAGATCCGCCATCATGATTGTACGTTGCCCCATCGCCGGTCAAATTTACGGTGCAGGACACATTGATCCCATTCATAGTGCTGGGCAACGCTGGCACACGCCAAGCAGACGTGGTACCATTGGTTTCAACAACGAGAGCAGCACCCGCGGTACGCAGGCTAAGCACAAAATCAGGAACAGTCAGGCCCAAGCAGCTGGTCGCTGTTTCAGATAATGGAAATGCCAATAAAGTGTCATGTGCCATTACAAACACGTGATTTGCACTGACCACCATAGCAGTCGGGCGCAGTGGCCCCGTACTCCAGGAGGCTGTAAACTCCAAGTCCCAGTTGGCATCGATATGCCACTGCATGACTTGATACGTTTGAGATACGACATTCCAGCTGGTCGTGTACAGTTGCCCTGATCTGAGTTCCGCAATGGGAAGCAGTGTTTCGTTCCGCAACGAAGGTCCTAGGCTGACACGGCTCGGTCCGGCCGTCTCGCGAAACAACCCTACATGCACTGCCGTCGATCCATCCAAATTCTGCAACACAACAAGGAGACGCTCTGCATCCAACACAGCTTGGGCGACATTGGTTTCACGGAAGATCACCTGGGTGGTCTCATTGCTCCACCAATGCAATTCCCACATGATGCTGCGCCCGACAAGAGCCGTGTGGCATAGAAAGAAAAATACGTTGGCATCGGCGGGCAGAAGCGTGCATTTGAGACAGTCAAAGGCTGCGCGGAAGCTAGTTGTGGTGGTAGTGCGACCGTCGAGAGCAATACGATGCAGTTGGAGCTGAGTGCCCGCGTTGCTGACGGCCAAGTAAGCCAGGTCATGCCAAACAGCAGCACAAGCATGCGATGTTGTCTCGCTTGCCAGGTTGTGCACGCTGCCTGGCAATACAAGAGAGGCGTGTTCAATACCCACAGCTGTATTGTTGACGTGACAAAACCGAGTCGTAGTTCCATCAAGGTCTTCCAGTAGTAGGCTGCAATTTGACGAAGGTTCTGGCATTGCAGACCACGTTGACTGTTCCTTGCAGGGAGAGTACAGCGAGGTCACCGTTAAAGACCACTCTTGTGCTGGACCCCAGATATGCACGCCTTTTGTGCTGCCCACGCAAAGCGGCAACTCCACCTCACAGGCTGAGCCATCACAACCGAGATCAATGTATTCGTAGGCCCCGCTGAGTGCAAGGCACACCAATTCAGCACCCCAGAAACCTGGCGATGACTCGCTCGGAGCAAATCGCAAGACAGACACGCCAATGGTGCTCAAAAGCAATTCCGTGGCAAGGCTGTTCGAGCAGAATGTAAAGGTTTGCGGCTGTTCGAGCATCAACAATTGCGGGAAAACACTGGCAGTCATAAACCCCTGGGTACATGGCAATGTGGCAAAGGCCGGGCTCTCACTTGGCAGCGGGTCGATAATCTGGCAGACGAGGCCACCTTGAGATGGCGTGCCTTTGAGTGTGAGGCCCCCATTGGGCGTGGCATGCAACTGGGTGCTTGTAAGCGACTGGGCAAGAGCGTGAACAACACGAGTCGGACGCAGCAGAGATATTTCATAGACCAAAAGTAAGGGAATCAGGTTTGATGGTTGAACCAACACATAGGCACCATCGTTCAGCATGGTTGCACCTCGATAGTAGCCTGGCACTGTGGACGTCAGATGAACCAACCCCGAAGGGGCGTCTTGCAGTGTTACTGTGATGCGGCCGACGCCGTCGTCTCCAATGCTAGCCAGCATCATAGCAATGCCACTCAAGGTGGAGTTGAGTGTAAAAGTTCCCAGCACTAGCTGCGCATCGGCGCTCAGATTGTATGTGGTACTTGCGTTGGGCCACGTCAAGTTGACGAACTGCACGCGTAGACGACCACCCACGGCATCACTGCTGAGCGCCACAAAACCTGAACTTACGTCCTGGCTGACCAAAGATAGCCCGTTGGTTGCGAACGTGCCGCGCACTTCAAGGCTTTGTCCATCATGCGTCGCGCGATACACGGTGATTTGCGCGTTGTATTGAAGCGCCAAAGTCACGGGCTGCAGCACATCCGAAGGAATCGTCATAGGCATCACTGCGGCACGACTCGCGCTTGTAGAACCCAGGCTGGTCATTTCCACCACCAGCCATCCATAATCCGACTGCCAGGCTCGAAACAGCACCGACTGCACGGCAGGTGAACCAAGAGGCTCATATCGGCCCAAGAGAAAGATCAGGCGCGCATGGGCCACCCACGCTTGACCCACAAATTGCACTTCGGACAAGCTGACCGATTGGAAGAACCGAAGCAAGTTGAAGCGCATGTAGCGCCAAGGCAGGGACGGAGACGTTCGCCACAGCGGCAGGCCCGCGGTTGCTGACAGAGCAACTTCCGTCGCCCCAGTCCACCACCAATGAGTGAGTCCCTCTTTCACACTGGGACGGCGTATGGTGTTTGTTGCTGGGTTGATTTCAGGAGAGCACGCCAAGTTCGCGTCCACCTCGGCAGTGTACCCACTGCTCGACTGTACGACGAGGTGAAGGTGACGAACCCCACCCTCCATCGGCCAGATCAGAATGCTGCTTGAATCTGCCTCGTCAATACTGAGGGTTTCTCGAAGCTGTGCGTTGGTACCCCATGCATCATCGGCCTCATAAACGTGGCCGTCAACACTCCCCGACCTCGAGTGCAAGGTCAGATTGACTGCACCAACACCACAAAAGATGCCAGTAGCATGGGCTACAGGACGCAGCTGGTCCAACTCCAAACGAGCGGTAGCACCCCACAACAGTGGGGCTGTCTCGAGGTGAATTGAGGCCAGAACAGCAAGCGTACTGCTCTTGGGTGTGGACCAAACAATGGACAGGTTCAATGAACGATAATGAAGCAGAATGATATCGGACCCGCTTAAACTTCGCACAACCGGAGTCCAACGACCATGCGACCAGGAAGCCACACGACCTGTGACCTGACCGTCGGCATCGATCTCGCGCATAGTGGTCACGTTGCTTGCTGCATCACGGCATGGTACCCAGACATGATTGCGAAGCTGTGTGCGAGGTAACTCGCAACCCGCCAGAATTGTGCTGAACTGAGTGGCGCTAGTGGAGCTGAGATTGCGTTCAGAGGTGCCATAGATACCGAGGCTCGGGTGGCCTGTGGTCAGGTTGTCGAGTTCAAGAAAGAGGCTGTTGCCGTAACTCACAACGCTTCTGCTCGCCAAGTGGCGCAAAGGTCCGGTCAGCTGCACATCAGCTTGCCCGTCGACGCGCGTCCAGCTGGGCAGTGTGTAACAGTTGTAAAATTGCCCGCCGATACCTGCAGCACCGGCCAACAAACACACTGTTTCGTTTGTGACCGGTCCTGCTGAGAGAGTGGTGCCATACTGAAGACCACGAGTGCGGGTGTAGTAGTCGTATGCAATCGTGGTGGCATTGTTTGCAAGCGTAGACCACGCCACCACGCGACCTACACGCTCGGAGCTGGGGGTATCAGCATACGGCATGCCCATCACCACCGTCTCAGGTGAAACCATCGCAACTGACTCGATGGTGGATGTGGCGGCAAAGCACTGCAAATTGAAGAACGAGTAGACGTGAAACTGGCAAGCAAGGGAAGGACCAGGAGCTATGGCCCCGTGCCGATTCACAATGTTGAAGACAAAAGAGCCGTCAAGCGCGTCCATGTGTGTGCCGAAAAGGAAGTCTTTGGGCTGGGATTGGATCGTGGCCAAAACTTGCGCATCGCCAGCTGCCACCGTCGACGTAGCCAAAGTGTCAATGCTATAGTTGGCCCCGACACGATATGAGATGGCCGAGACAAAGGCGACATAAGTCACTTCGTCGGTCACCAGCAGGTTGTCAGCATCGGTGGAGGAAGTTGGAAGGATGTTGTAGATTTGGTGGCTTTCGAGCTTCCGCTCAACAAATGCATGATAATCCAACAGCTGAACATCATCGCCGCTTTGCAGGTTGCAAGTACCGATTCCAGCATGGTCTCGAACCCAGTACATCCAGGAAAAGCCGGCGTCCACGTCTACCAGGCTTTCTGCGTCGGGGCCGCTCGAGACGATTGGTCGCAAGCATGTTCCTGCCTCGCAACTGGCATGCAATAAAAAAATATTGGCTAGGCTCTCCGATGCGCGCCATGGCGTGGGCGCCCCACAGGGGAAGGGCAACAAGACGTGGGAGGTGGTGACCGGCGACGGGCGGCAGTTGACATCCCCTGCACTCCATGAACCAGTACCTACCAGGAGGGAGGATCAGACGCCACATGAGAGAGATGAGATGTGACGAAATTTTGCGAATGGACGAAAATGTGGACATGTGTGAAGCACACGCTCATCACTCAAGACCCAGCCTGCCTCATTCTCCATTGGAGAGATTGACAATAGTTGTAGACAAACGCGCGACCCGCGCGTGGGTAGACACCAACCAGCAAAGAGCAACAGGACGAGACACACGGTGTCTTGGGCTGCTACGGCAAGTACAATATCTTGACCGCCGGTGGCACGCAAGGACCAACGCGAAACGGCCAGCGAGGTGCCGAGCTGACTGAAGCTGCCACGCAGTATTGGGTGCAGAGCACTAAGCGGCTGAACTCGATCCACTATTCGCGATATGGCAAAAGCATAGCAGCAAAATGAGAGTCGACCACCTTGAAATGATGCACGGCTGGCTTGAGTTGCACGCAACTAGACGCACGAGCATTGCGAACGAGAAAGACTTCGCCTGTGGCCCTGCGTGTGTGCTGGATGGTGTCCGGAGCACCAACGGCGATCCATTGACTCCTATACTCGGTCTCGGACCCAACTACAACCAGATTCATCAGTTCAACGACAGTTCATTAACTGCAAGACTGCCATATGGTAGACCTTTTGCTATAAGGAAGCTCACGTACAGTTGCTACGAGGCTGAAGACCAATAATGGCAGTCCCAAAGGATTTTACGGTCATGTTGCTGGGGGGCACGCCATCCAGCTACAAGGATGGAGGCACAAAAATCAAAAAAGGGGGGCAAGAAAGTTGAGCTTGATAGAGCACCATTGATCCTTGAAGCCATCAAAGGGTAGTTTTGTCGTCTTACCTCGGCTGGAGGAGAGAGGGGATCATCCAAATAGCGCGAGATGGGGGATCTGGCGGGCACTTCGAGCCCCTCCAGTTTGAAGTCATTGGCTGCAGAACCAAGCATGTCCACGCACAATTTCTCGAGCCGTGAGCATACCGGTGTGGATATCAACGGAGAGCTTGCAGAGTGTATATGATGCGTGTACATGGTGTTGGCGCTGGCGCATTCTGGGTGCGATGAGAGGAGGCGCACCTGCCAAGCTCCAACATATCGTGACCAGAGTCCCACGATCGTTGAAAGCACCGGGCGCCCCCGCTGAAAAGCAATAGGCTGGTCGCGAGGGCTGCAGGGCAGCCGAAAGGTTCGTGCATATGCGCATGCTTTGAATGAGCTGGGTCGCACGTGCAGAAACCAGCCACCATCACGGAGGCGGTAGCGTGCTCAGCTCACCGTATCGATCACCGTAAAGAGAAAATGGACGACACTCCCAAAGCGGGCGTTTTCGGCCATGGAGGCATTTGAAAATACTGCGACATCTTCACTTGGCCCAAAGCTGATGTACGAGATCGAAAATTCTATGGCATCAAGACCAAGAAGGCTTGAGAAGCTGATGCATCTGTGCGTGAGACGAAAACCAGCTTTAAAACGTACGATAAGTCAAGCGAATCCGCCCGCAATTTGATGTTTCAGCGCCTTGATTTCCACATGAAGACGAGGGTTGGCCCAAGAAGGTGATTCGGCGGTCCTGTGCCTACATTGGGCCCACGGAGGGCGAAAATTCAATGGTGAGTGGAAGGCCCCCAACAGCGAGGGGGCCAAATCGTAACTAGCAAATGAATTTCTGGCAAAAGCACGCGACTCACGGCTCGGCGTTCGGGCAGCGAGTCAAATGAAGCTGGGGTGTTAAATGCTGCGAGAGCAGAATCGGTTAGTAAACCCAGCACCACCCCAAGGCACACCCATTCAATGGGCCGAGGCCGCGCTGGCACCCCCAAGAGCGTTGGGGGCATGCCGTCACTTTGCGCTGGGTGCTTCCCCCGATCCTGCCAGCTTGGCAGAGCTCCAGAGCCCGCCTCACAGCACCCTTAGCTCGACAGCAGACACCGCAATACGCCTGTCACGCATGCTTGCGCCCCGATCAACCACCAGCACGACGGGAATACCCCGCACCGCCACCATGCACGCGGCGCCTCCTCGGTGCGTGATGAATCCTCAAGCCGGTTTGTCTGACATTAGCAAATAAACACACACACACTTCTCTCTCTCTCTCGCTTTTTCTCACATGCACATGCATCGATCTCAAGCTTGTGCCTGTGAGAAAAAGCG